CTCCCTTCATCCTCTTTCCTATATCCACTGTGTCCTGGGCAGCTCTTCCCACTGGGCCACTGGAGAGCAAGGTGATCTTACTGGCTGACTCCTGGATTTGTTTGGGGGTGGGTATGTGTGGGTAGGCTGACCTTGAACTTAAAATATCCTGCCTCAGCTACCGGAGTACTGAGATTATAGGCTAGAGCCACCATGACTGGGTACTATTGTCTTTTGTTTTGTTAGTGGTGTGTGTGTGTGTGTGTGTGTGTGTGTGTGTGTGTGATGTAGTAGTCATGTGTATGAGTGTTCAAATGTGTGTGGGCACACATGTACATGCAGGGGTGTGTATGTGTGATGTAGTCATGTGTATGAGTGTCCAAACGTGTATGGGCACACATACATGCAGGTGTGTGTGTGCTGTGTGTGTGTGTGTGTGTGTAGAGGCCTAAGGTTGATGATGCCAGATGTCTTCCTCAGTTGTTTTCCATTCTTATTTATTGAGACAGAGTCTTGCTGAACCCAGAGATTGCGAATTCCAGTTGCTCTAGCTAGCCAGCTTTCCCTATGGGTTCTCTATATATCTCCAGAGTGCTGGAATTACAGGCAGCCATCACACTGGTTTTTATGTGGGTTCTGGGGATCCAAATTCTGGTCCCCAGTTCTTGCATGAAAAGGATTTTATCTACTGAGCCCTCTCCTTGGCTCCTGGCTACTTTGTACAATGTGACTCTAGTGTCTGGCCACAGGACTTTCTCTGCCACCAACTGCAGCTGATCCTGAGAAGCAACTGTATCTGCATGTGTGAGGACCACAGAAAAGCAGGGTGTCTTTGGAGCCCCACAAATTATAGTGAACACAGGTGCTGCCTTGTAAGGATTCCCCCACCGCTCTTCAAGAGTTAGAGCTGGTCTTAGCAATGACTCCTTATATAGTCATGTCCCCAGCCAACCCAGCTGTGACCCTGGGACCACACTTGGCATTGCCCAATCTCTGTGAGTCTACTGCCTTCTCTGCCAGGTAGAGATCTTCCTGGGATCATTGCCACATACCCTTGCATCCCTACCCTTGTCCTTACCCTCCACATCACTCTGCAGAGTGTCAAAGGAATTTTCCTATAGCTCAAGCCAAATGATGTCCCATGTCTCCACTGCTAAGTACCCAGTGGCTCCTACCAGATCCAGGGCAAGACATAGTCTAGAACTGTTCCCTTCAATTCCTAGCTCCAACAGCTGCTCTCTGGCCCCTCTGCACAGGATGCCATTCATACATGGTACACATGTATACATACATACAGACAAAACACTCACACATACAATAAAATAAATACGAAAAAAAGTGGGAAAGAATTGTCACTTTCTAGTAGTGGCCACCTGGAGACCACACCTTTAATATGTAGGACTTTGGGGGACATTCCAGATTCAAAGACCAACCCTCATTTCTCTAGTGAGTCAGAGACACTGTCCCTACCCGGATCCTGCTTTGGTGCCTTAGACAGGTTTAATGGCTTGCCTTGGTTTCCTCACATGAGCACCTCTTTCCTCATCCTGCTGGGCCCTGACTAATGATTCCAGGACCCTGCCTCCTGGCTCCTTTTGCTGCTTATATAATAGGCAGGGTCCAGCTGCCTCTGTTCTCAGAATTTTCTCACCCCAGGTCCCAGAGGATGGCTTTAGCAGAGGTCATTGGTCCCTACTGTTGATCCTCTGAAGACCCATGGAAGATGTCACCAGCAATGGGTATCTGTGTCTCAAGCCACCCACAGGGTCAGGTGCTCACTCAAGATGATGAAAGGGTAGATTGTGGTGGTGGAGAGTGTAACAGGGGGGCATGGATGGTTAGTGGTGCTGACCCCTCTGGTCTTGTTGACCGCATGAGAGATGGGGAAATGAGAGTAAGATGAATGCTGAACTAGCTCCTTCCTTCCTTCCTCCCACCTCCACTGGGGCTCTCTATAGTCCAGCGCCAACTGGACCGTGCAGGCCTCAGCCATCATCCAGCCATGCAGATCACACAGATCTTTTTCAGGCAGAAGGCATGGAGAGGTAAGTAAGAAGGACAGCTCATCTTTGCATGTCAGTAGTGGGGTCCTGCAAATCAAAGGCAGCCTATCCCAAGGTTCAAGTAGGACTAGAGAGGTTATGGGGTTAGAAACCAGACTGGAAGTCAGGCATGAACACAAATGTCCTGCCATGAGGCCTGAGCCATAGAGGACCCTGAGTGGAGCCTCCTAGCCACCTCTGCAGAACAGCAGCCTCCAGTCCTTTTAGTGACCAATAGTATTTAAGGAGCTGGGAGGAGAAGTGGGTAGTTGCTAGGCAACATCAATCCCTGTGATGCCCAAATGAGCAAGGGCTTCATCAGAGGCACGGGGAAGCTGCTGGGGTACAGACTGACACTACTGGACCCAGTGGGGGGAGCCCTCCACTGACATATTCAAGAATTTTGGGGGCCCACTGATGCTTGGAAACCATTTCAAAATGTCTGAAGGGCTACAAAGACACGTGGCTTCGCTTAGGCCTGACCGGAGCTGGCTTTCTTGTGGGATTCGGCCCTGTCTGCCCCTGGAACCCAAGGAGCCAGGGGGGAAAATGAAAACCAAAGTTTCTAGAATCATCAGGCCCCATTCCTCCCTTGCTGCCTCTCCTTCCCTTTCAAGTTGACCTGGCAGGACTTTGCCCCCAGCCCCCAGCTTTCATGCAAAGGCAAAAAGGAGGGCTTTGCCACGCAGGCGCCACATTTGATTCCGATTTGCGCCTGGCGTGTGATGACAAGAGCCCGAAGCCGATAATGGACGAGTCCAGCCCTGGGAGGGCAAAGCCCCGGCGCCGCCATCGCTCTTGCTGCTGCAGCTGTCATGGAGTTGGTCCGGCAGATACTCATCGAGCCTCGGCCAGCCATGGGGGCTGGGCCACCAAGCCACTGGTTTGGACCCACAACTCTGCAAAGCCAGTCACCAGGAACCAGAAGAACAAGTGACCACCCTACCCTGCAGAGACGGGCCACAGTGGGGAGCAAGTGCCTGTACTGTGGGACACCTGCACAGGTAGCCAGAATGGTGTCAAGTTACCCTGCAGGAGAGCAGGTAGTGGGGTTGAGCATGTCTCACTGTGGTAGGCTAGCCAGCTGCAGGCCTGAAGCCTTGCAGTGGCCTCTGCCCCAGGAGATTGTATAATTCGGCAGGTTTGCAGCCAAAAGCTGATGCTCATTCTTCTGTCCCCAGCCTCTGCAGGGTCCTGGTGGCACCTCCTTGCCTCTCCATATAAGTACTGTGACTTTTCCCAACAGCTCAGGCAGGAGTGACACAGATATCGGGCTCTGGGGCCTCTTTACATGTCCATTCTGCTTTCTCTGTGAGCATGCGCCCAACCTGGCTGGTTGGAGGATCACAACCACATGGTGCAGAGCCCATGCCCCCAGCTGTCTCAACAAAGGCCAGCCACGGCCAGCAGAGCCCCAGGCTGACACAATGTGAGCAATGAACCATTGCTGTTGTGTGCCACGGGGTCTCCTAGCCAGCAGAAGCTTCCTGATGCAGAGCCAGCTGGGGGCCTTTCTCTGATGGCTTGTCTATCCACTTTAGATGCGTCTTAGTTTCTCTATGGTGGAGAAACCCTACTTGAGTCCTGGTCCTTTCATCCCCGGAGCCCCCAGATGATAATAATATCTTCTCTTGAATCTAGCCTGATCCCAATACAGAACACTAGAAGCTACAACAAAAAGCAGCACCAAATACCCAATAGGGTGCCAGCTTCTGAGGATTATGATCAGCTCTCCCCATGCCAGCTCTATGGCCAGTCACTGGATCTTTATGGTGAAGTGCACTATTACCTGTACCTGCCGGCCAGGCTGCTCTGCAGACACTTCCAACTGGAGATAAAAATGTGGGGCAGGTAGTTGGCACTTAAAGTTGGGACTCTTTGCAGTACTGCACAGAAAGCACAGATGGCAGGTGTCATGTTTGGTGGGGTCAAGTCCCCAGCCCTCCATGATGGACTGAGTTACCTGTACTTGGCTGAACTTTTTTTTCCTTCCAGGAGAGTGAGCTGCAGCAACTCTGCCAAGTGCAAATTTGATAACCAGACACCGTGCTGAGGCCCCGGACAGCCCAGCCTGCCTTTGATCCAGGCTGTCTGGGCCAGCCGCTCTCTAGCCGCCGAGAGTCTGTTTTCCATTTTGAGTTTGGCTGGGCTGTCCTTTAAGGAAGATCGGCTTTCAGGCTCCGGCAGACAGAACTGTGGGCAGGAAGCAAAAGATCCTCTCTGTGGATCTCCAGTCTCCAGCAGCAAGCAGAGTCCTGGGAAGGTGTGGGATCTTGTGGAATGGAGACAGTGGTACTCTAGGGTGAGAGGCTCCCAAGGCACCTCTGCATGGAAACTGTGTTACCTGGTGTCAAAACTCTGAGGGCTCCTGTCCCTTCAAAAGTGCAGTAAATGGGAGTTCTAAGAATGGGAATCAACTTGGTAAAGGAAGGCAAGGATCTTTACCTTGGTGTTTGCTCATGTGTTTAACAAATCCATGGATGGTTGGATGAGCAAATGGATAGATGGATGGGTGGATAAATAGATTGGTGGGTGGATAAGTGGATGGCAGATGAATGGAAATGATGGCTAGATGAGACAACGTGTTGGGCCCCAGCCCCACAGGGTCTCTGTGAGTTGCTGGTCAGCCTACAACTGCAACTTGTTTTCCAGTCCAAGTGCTTCCTGTTTTCCAGTCCAAGTGCTTCCTGTTTTCTAGTCCTGGCTTACTGCCCCGGCCTTGACCCTATGACATCAACATCTAGCAGGAGGAAAACATCTCTCTTCCACTTGGGGTTTTTCCACTGTGCTGTAAAACTGTATATAAGGCTACTCCCTCCTACAAGAGAGAGAAGACCTCTTAGCACTTGCAATAAAGACACACACACACACACACACACACACACACACACACGCACGCACGCACACACACACACACACACACATACACACACTCCTGGCAATAAAGGCAGCACATGCATTCTCTTAGTACAAGCAGCTGGACGTCTTCTCTTTCTTTTCCTGATACCTTGAACTTGCTTGTGGCGCAGGCGCCGCAACAATGGGTAGATAGGTGGATGTGTGTGTGGATGAGAGATGAATACATGGGTGAACAGGTAGATTTGTGGATGGATGGATAGATGGGTGGATGAGAGATGAATAAATAGATTGGTAAGTATATAGATGAATGGGTGGGTGAATGGATAAGAAGATGGATGATATGTATGTGTGTGTGTGGGTTAAGGATAGACGATTGGATAGATGGATGAATGGGTGGGTAAGTAGACAGATGAGAGGGTAAATATGAGGATCAGTGGGGGTATTGTTGAATGGATGAAATCTACCCTTCTTTGGCTGTAAATCAAGGATAGCCCATCTTCTCAAGGCTAATGATAAAGTTTGCTTCTCTAGAGAGAGATAAAGTCATAACCTGAGGTTCATGTAGTATGACAACGTGGTGTCACAAAAACCAGGAGCAAGGATCAGAGGTAGGGTCCTGGCCAAGCTTTTTGTGAACTTGGTAAGTCTGTAGCATGCCACCATCGTGGGTGATGGCCCATCTTCTAGGGCCCCTTGTCATTACTGCTGGGAACTGAATTTTGTCCCCAAATGCACATGCTTAAGCCTAAAGCCCCCTGGGATATTTTTGAAGCTGAGCATGGGAGGGCCTGGGCTTTTATGTAGTCCTGAGCTGAGCTCCCCTGGTGGGACTTCTCCTTGTGAGGAGGGGCTCAGGCGGGTCACGATGAGAAGGCAGTTTCCGCAAGCCCCCGTGCTTCTGTCGTCAACAGTAGGATGGATGATGATGATTTCTTGCCTGTGGTGTGTTTTATGTTGGCCTCAGCTCAAGTGTTCCACACACAAAGCAGAAAGCACTGGGACAAAGCTTCAGATGCCCTTCTCCTAGAAGGCTGCCAAGCGCTTGATGCACCAAGGACAGGCCCTTGTGGCAGCCGCATGGTCCCCAAGGACACTGAGTGATGTGCTGTCAAAACTCCCACCTCATGATGGCAGTGTCCACAAGCAAAGCCTTCTTACTTCACAGGACTCCAGCTTGGCCAGGTGGGTGATGCAATGAATATTCCTGTCCATCCTTCTCATTACCTGGAACGACCACTCAGAAAGCAGGGGTGATAGCTCCTGTTGGCAAGGGGCCCTGACTCTCACTCATCAGTAAAGAAACAATTCTCAGAGCTCCTCCCCCCCATCTCACTCCCTTGAACTGGGCCATGGTTTCTTCCAGATGGGATGGATTGGCCCCATCTTAGTTCCAGAGTGGGCAGTTTCCCTCTGACAGCATTGTCTTTGGGGACCAAATTCTCAATAAAGAGGCCATAGCATTAAAGTAGATGCAGTTGATTCATGAATGGGCATTGCTGTGTTTTGATAAAGCTTTATTTACAAACTAAGAGAGCAGTCAAATTTTGTTCACAAGATGCAGCTTGCTGAACTCTGCCATAAGCCAAGTGTGACTGACCTAGAGGGGCTGACTAGTTGCAGCCCCACAGAATCATAGTTAGGAGCAGTGGCCAGGGTTACACAGCTAGCTGAAACCTTTAGACCAGGCTGTGGAGACCTTCATTCATCTGGGTGTGACCTAAGAGGATGACACTGGACAGTAAGAGAACAAGGGTGCTCTTGCTGCTTAGAACGGTGTGTAACCTCTCAAAAACTTACTCTTGTTTCTTTCTGGAACTTTCCATTTAATATATACAGACTATGGGCAACAGTATTAAGTGAAATGCAGAAAGTGAGACCCCCAGATGAGGCAGGACAGCTGGACAAACCTTGGTTTGTATGTGGGAATCTGCCTAAGAGACGTGAAGAACAGACCAAGACCTGGGGTCACTCGTCATGCCTCATACATCCTGCTGGGATTAAAGCACAGGGAACACTTGCTAATGACAGAGGGTCCTGCCCTTCTATCAGGGAGATCCATAGGCCCCAGAGGAACCCAGAGGCGCATGCACACTGGGCAAGCACTCTGCTGCGGAGTCCACCCCACACCGTTCGAAGATTCCGAAGCTTCAGTGATTCCCTTTGACGGCTTGGGAAGCAGAGGCACATAGCTACGGAGGGTCTGAGAGTCCACACTCCCACAACTGCAGGTGAGGACAAGTGAGCCACCATCGTGAGGTGGTCCCCCTTGCAGGGTGGGCGCCCCGACACTCAGGTCCACTGGGCAAGCGGTGAGATGTGGAGCTGGGTCTGAACACCAGCCAGGTACAAACAATGTGACAGTGTAGCTTTGATATTTCCACTTTGACCTCCTGCCGGGACTAGCGCAGAGGTGGAAAGCGATTTGCGAGGCCCCACCCTTCTGTCCGCATGGGGACAGTTGACACAGTTGGGGAGCATGCAGGTGCAGGCACCTCTTGCTCCTGTTGTCCAGCAGGGTATGTGAATTTGTGCTGTGTGAGTTCCCACGTGTGGAGGTTCAGAGCTTCACCCACAGCAAGGACGCAGGGCCTGCATTTTGAAAGTAACCAGGACACCAACTTCAGTGTCATCCAGGGACTTTTCCTCAAAGGTTGCAGTTTGTGGCCACTGTGAGCATCCTGCACTCCCTGGGTCAACCCTCCCAACCGCATCCTAAGGAGCCACACCTGCTGCACCTGCCCCTCGAGGAAGGCTCACAGGTGGAGACGTGCCCCATCTTACTGAGGCAAAAGCCTGGACTCGGGGATCCAATGTCACTCTCTTCCCACTGTGCCATCTTCCGAGGACACTGGGAACCAAACGAACGGCTCTCCAGGCTGGGAAGGAGGAAAGACACCCAGTCTGCTTCACCCCTACCTCACCCCCTGCCCCTACTCTGCCCGGCTCATAGACAGCTAACATGTGTTTCTATGACATATGGAAACACAGGGGAACCCAGTGAGGGAGAATGGAGGAGCGAATGGAAATTGGAGACAATTGCTGTATGCATATCTGAATTTCCATGGCCATCTCAGACTGTACACATGACTTCAGAGTGGTTGTTAATCCCCCGGCCTCCAGGGTCTGACCACTCTTCTGGGTTGCACTTCTCTTCTTGGCCACCATGGGGCACACTTCCCCCCAGTGAGCAGGAGCCAAGACTGAAAACCCAAGCTGGTCTTTCCTTTCCTGAATGAACTCTCCAGGCCTCATTCCTAGAACAGTCCATAATTTTTCTAATAAAACATCATTAACTATGGAAAGTCACCCACCATAGATGTAGGTGTGCATTTCTGTTCCAATATTCGCCTCCATCTTTACCACCACAAGAGAGGGTGCTTACAGCAGGGCGCTGGGCTGGCAGAAGTCTAGGGCACAGTGATGCTCATTTCCAACCTTCTGTGGCCCAGGGCAAGTTCCTGTCTTATTGTGAGTCCCCCAGAGGTGCTTCAGAGGCTGGAACCCCCCCCGTGTGTATGCAGATCCCACAAGGAGAGCTGCTTTTTTTCAAAGCCTCAGATTTAGGGTTCACAGGTCCCCAATTGAACCCAAGGGCGATGAACCCAAATTCACTGGTCCCATCAGAAAGGAAGAGGTTGTGTGTGATTGCATGCCTGCTCAGTGTGCTCCTGTGTGCAAAGAGTGGAAGAGGAGCCTTCCCTTACCGGAGGAACAGTCAAAGGAAGACTAAAGCATGCTCACCCAAGGCAGGTGTGGTGCTGAGCTCCTGTAATCTCAGTACTTTGGAGGCTGGGGCAGGAGGACCCGAAGTTCAAGGTCATCTTCAGCTATGTAGTAAGTTAGAGATTGGCCTGAACTAAACATTCTAAGAAACAATGACCACTATGTGCTGGGTGGGCATGCTGAACAGGCTTGCCTTCAAAGAGCTCACAGTGACATGCAAGAGACAGACAGATGAATCCAGGTGGCAGTCCAAGATGGTACAGGGGAACCAAGGAGGCTTCTTAGCCACACAAGGAATACTTAGACGGGCTGGAGATGAGAGCCCGCACAGATGAGGGAAGGACAAAAGGAAGTGGGGTATTTGGCCTCCGAGGTCACCAGGCTGCAGATGTGGGGAGCCTCTCTCAAGGGTTCCACTCCATCCTGACCATCTGTGCAACCGGATACTCAGTCTAAGCTTCCTTAAGCCTCGGTTTCCCCATCTATGAGATGAGCCGTCTCTCTTCAGTTCTGGAGTCTGGAGTGATGTAAACTCTAGTGTGCTGACCATGGTGGTAGAGGACCACGGCAGAGATGAGGCACCGTGCCTCCCCTGCCCAAGTCAGTGTCCAACCATGAACATCCCCTCCTCTGCACCCAGCACTGCATCTCACGCAGCAGCTCCTTTGTGAACACGCCCTCCCCGTGGCACTACAAATGTGATCGCTCCCCTGCCCTGAGATCTCCCTGAGTCACGACCCTCTCAGCTTGCAGGGTCCCATTGCAGTCTAACCTCTCACCAGGACACCTGCACATTCACAACCATTGGAGGCTAATCCCCAGTTCCTGGATAGTTGTCAGCGTTTGGGATGAGACAGACAGATAATAAGGCCAATATTCATGTTCTCAGTCCCTGGATGAAAAACTGAAATGTCCTGGAAGCAGAAAGTCTGGATGGGAGTCCACTATGGGGATGGCATCGCCTGGAGATCATGGTCCCCAGTATCCTTGCAGGCTTTCCATCTTGGTAAGGTAGCCGTGCCCTGCTGGGTTGAGCACCTTCCAGGTGTGAGGACAGTCTAGAGAGGGGATTCCCAAGAAGCCTACAGCCCACGTGCACGGCTACTTTATGTGTCAGGGCATGTGCTAATATCTATGCATTGCACTGAAGCAAAGGCTCCTGGGTTGGATAATGCCAAGTGTCCCTGACACATAGCTGGATATGTATGTGGTTGGAGAGTGGAGCCTACACAGTAGTCCGTGAGTCTGGTGGAACCTGAGGAGTGACCAGGAGGAGCCAGGTCAGGGTTACAGGGACAGGACCGAGGATGGAGGGGAGCTGGGCCTGGACTGTGACAGGTGTGTCTCAGAATACTGGTGTAAGTTAGTTACAGATAGGGCAGGGACAGCATGGCAGCAAGACTATGGGTTGACTCAACACACAGCAGCAGCCAGAGAGCAGGAAATCGTTTGGGGCTATAAAATCTTAAGACCCACCCCCGTTTCCTCTCCCCCGACCCCCGGCAAGGCTACACCTCCTGATGATGATACCTCAACCTTCCCTGAAATAGCACCACCAGCTGGGGACAAAGTGCTTGAACCCAGGAGCCTGTGGGGACATTCCACAGTCAAGCCACAGCCCAGTCCTTGTAAATGAAAAGACTGGCAGGCTTTAAGCAGGAGGGGATTGGGTGGGATCACATCCCCATGCATCTTGAAGCTGATGGCTGGGGGACAGACTGCCAACTGTATGGAAGGCTCTATGTTCACTCAAAGAGAACACAATGTCTTTCTGGGAGGGGCAAGCAGCTCTGATGGAGTACCTCTGGAATGACTCCGAAGACAGCTTTTGGTGACTCTCAGATCAAGTACTGCTCTGCTACCAGCGTCTCCAGTTTTTCCATTTCAAAGTGCCACTGAACCCAGGGTGGGGTGACTGGCAGGTGGCCTGGCCTGTATCAATGTCGAAAGGCACGGGGATGGGAGAAGGAAGCCAGAGCTATGGAGGGGCAGAACGCAAACGCTGTTGGGATCTGAGAGGGTGGCTGGTGACCAGTGGGGAGGAGTAGGAGCAAGATGAGGCTGGATGTACCAGTTAGGGAGGGGAGACTAACGCTGCGTTAGAACCCCCGAAGGGTAAGGGTAGTGACAGAGGACACACCTGAATGTTGAGGCCAGCGATGCTTCTAGAGAGAAATGAGGCAAAGTGCTTTGCTGTTCAGGAAATAACACTGACTGGGGTCCACAGAGAGGACATTGGCCCAAGGCAGCCTGCTGGATGTGAATCACTGCACAGGGCCATGGTGGCTCCTGTGGGCAGTCTGGGGCTTTGGTGGCCTTTTGTGACAGTCCTAGTTGTCAGGCACATGGGAGAGCCCCCCTTCCCTCATAGCCTCTCAGCAATATGTTGACTTTTCTGTGAGACTGGCACCATTTGGTCCTCACAGCATTATTACTGTTTGAGTTGTATTGAGCTGGTGAGGAGCATAGTAGAGAGGGGAGGACAGGGGAGGGGAGGAGAGGGGAGGGGGGGCTTGCTGAGCTGCCACCTACCACAGCAGGGAGGAGGAAGAGCCAGGAACAGCTGGAGAGGAGGGGGAGGTCATGGTGGTGCTTCCAAAGAAGAAGGGGTTCCTACCTAAGTGTTCCAGAGACTGTCCCAGGACGAAGCTCCCAATGGTGCAGAGGAGTGGCCGAGGACAGCCTCAGCTGAGGTGATAGTAGAGGGAAGTGGTGATGGTTTGTGCAGCCATAGGGGAAGGAATATGGCAGCAGCCATGACCCAGTCCTGCCAGGAGCCAAGTACTCAGAAGGAACAGCCCTGGGCGTACTGGAATGGATGCAGACAGCGCTGGGATTCTGGGATTCCAGGATTCTGCCCTCGGCACTGGACTGCTGTGGGCCTTTCCCTGCAGGCAGAGGCCTGAGGCTGTGAGGAAAGGTGGGTCAGACGCCTCAGATTTCAAGAGCCAACTTCAAAGGGGCCAGACTTGGAGGACCAGCCCAGGAATGCATGGGGCAGGCAGGATGGTTGGGGAGCCCCTCCCATGGGATGCTGGCCTGACCCCCAGCTGGGGCTGGGAGGCTAAGGCCAAGGGCACTTTGACAGGGTGGGGCCCAGCTCAGCATCTGCTGCATTGTGACTCAGCCAGCTCTCACCTGCGCCCCAGGACAACAGGGGCACTGGCCCTCCTCGGGTCCTGGCTCCTTTCTTAGTGAGGCTGTGAGGTGGAGTAATAGATGCACAGCTTTCCACGGAGGGCTGGAAACTGTGGGAGGAGTCGATGCAAGGGACAATGCCCAGGGGTATCGAGTCCCTGAGTCCTGGAATCCACACAACATACAGAGACTGCATAGATATGCACACATGTATGTACACAGGGTCTCAGACACATGTGCACACAAAAGCACAAGAGCACATGTCTAAGCACATACTCAATACACATGTGAAAACAGGTGCTCAGACACACATGTACATGTGTCCCCCAAGCCATGTATACACAGATGTGCATACACATTTGCACATACAGCCTCATACACGCATGTGCACATAGGTGCATGGCCATGTGTGCATAACCCCCATACGCACATGTATACACATGCTGGCATATGCCCACTATTTAAACACTTGCACAGGCATGCACACTCACACATATGTATACTCACTCATGGAGGACTCCTTCCTTCAGAGTCTGAGACTCTAAATCTGTTGATACTAGTACTTTGTAAGAGAAGGGAGCAAAATGCTTTCTCCCTAAACCATTTAATTAAAACACCCAGTTAGAAAAATAAGTGGCAGACTTTATCAGCTACAACTCTGGGCTATCAGAGGAGCCCGTGTATGGCATCCTGTAGTCCAACCCAGGCCAAGCTCCCCTCAGGCTGCATTTGGACACCCCTCTTCCAGTGAGGTGGGACATATCAAGCCACCAAAGACAGCAAGTGAAGAGGGTTTCCAGTGACTTTCCAAACACACCTCTTATCCCCACCCATGGTAGGTAAGACCCAATTTTCAGGAAGTCTGGGGCTCAGTGCCTCCCCCATCAGGGAGCCCTTGAGGACTGCTCCAGACTAAGCCCCAACTACACTCCCGCCCAGTGCTCCTCTCAGGAGCTGGGTGTTCACACACTGTGGTTGGCTCAGAACAGCACAGGTGGCCAAGGGCAGCCATATTAACTACAGTACCCTCTTTCTTATCAGGGGCACCCAGAGAGGTATCCAGGGCTAGGAACATTCCAGTTCTCCATATCTTTGTGTCCTTCACTCTCTGGATCAGGCAGGGTGATGAGCTCGATCTATGAAGAGTTGCAAGGCCATGGTCCTGAGCATTAATGGCTGGCACCATGGTTCATGTACATGTGCATGTACATAAGGTCTACCTGCTTTCTAACTCCACATGGCCTTCCTGACCAGGCTCCAGTTCTAGCATCCAGCCCACGCCCTTCACTCCGGAGCGTTTCCATCCTCCATCTCTCCTGAGCCATTCATTGTCAGATTTCTTCGGCCAGGACTCTGCTTCCTTCCCAGAGAATGGGGCCAGTGTCAAGGTCTTGCCTGTGAACACACAGTTCAGTGGTCCTGAGCATTCACAGCCACCTGCAGCTGCCACTGTA